CACGCTATTGTCTATTGTTTTTGTTAATTCTGCACCTTATCAAACTAAACAATATTTGATCACAAAATGAATCAGATTCAAACGCAAAAATACTGACCGTTGCATTATAAAGAACAAACACTTTAATTCGATCGGAATTTATAGATCTTTTGAAACAAAAACTACATTGATGGTGCTCAGATTTGGAGGTGCTTTTTTCTAAGAAGAGTTATCGTGCTAACAAATTACCTATTGATTTTTTGCGTACACCATTCATTATACCACATCCCCACATTAACATGGCTAAAAAACGGTTGCTTTGTGCCTCTGTATACTCAAACCGCAAAGAATAACGATTTTTAGCGAATTTTGGGGTGATTGCAATACTTTACTGCACACAGTGGGTGTGCGGAAAAGTGAAATTCGAAAAAATCGATACAGTTTTTCTTACATGATTTTTTTTTCTATGGATCATAAATATTCTGAACTATGAACTACATTGCATTTCATTTATTAACATCTAAGAACATATTTTTCAAAGTGCACGTCAAAAATAATCTAATAAATCCGAGAAATACTTTTGCATCTCTTCTTGTGACCACTGGCCAGTGGCTCACCATATCACACATTTGAACATTCTGTCTCAAAGCCTCTGTTATCCAAACCAACTCGATTCCGGTTTCTTTCGACCGTTGTTTCAATGTTCCAATCGGTGATTTTTTTGCAATTGTCCGAAAAATGAAGTTCAATTTCCTCAAGCGTTCGATTCTCCGTCTCCGGTAAAATGAAATAGCTTAAAATCAATCCCAAGAAACTTATTATGCAATAAAATAACGAAGTACCAGCCGATAACGAATGGCTCACTTCCATATCGTAATAAGTTTTTTTCGCAATGAAACCCATAAAATAGAATAAGGCAGCTGCTACACCACTAGCAATTCCTCGTGATCTGTTAAAGAAAGTTCATTGTATTTCGTTTTTGGAAAAGTATTCAAACTTTTATCACTTTGCGCATTTATTTTGCATAAATTAATTCTTTCATGAAACCATTAAATGATGAATCAACTCACTTGAATGGAAACAATTCGGAAAGTAGGACCCATGGTGCTGATTGGCACCAATCAGTGCACAAAACGAGAAGAAACTCCATAAATTGAGTGCAATGAATGGAATATAGGTGAGACCTTTCTTTTGCACGTGATCATTCACCTCGTGTGCTTGATCAAATGAGATTAAACCTCGTGGTAAAATTACGAAACCATAAACAGTGATAATCAGCGTACATACTACAACTCCCGACAACATTGTTAAGTAGAGTTTTCGTTTGCCTAAAAAGCAGTGTGTCCATAATATATAGAAATATCACTAAATAGTGTCGATATCTATACTATATCGGTCCACTATATATGAAAGATATTGCCGCACGGCACCGTATCGCACGATCGAAGCCAGTGTAGACGGAAAAAATCACAAATTGCCATGCGGCAGTAGAAAGAACTGTGTGTATGCGTCAACATGTTTGCCGTCCGCACTCACTTCTATCGTGAGCTACGGTGTCTTGCGGAATATCTTACATATATAGTGGACCAATATAGTATAGATATCGACACTATTTAGTGCTATTTCTATATGTTATGGACACACTGCTAAAAAGAAGACAGCTAAAGTCGATTATTTGATAACTTGGTGCGTCACATGGATTTTTCGCTCAACCGTAAAACAAATCAAACACATATACGTTACATTGGCCACATTATCGAAAACACTCATAATCAACGCCGCCGTGTCTGCCTCAATTGGACTTTGGTACACTGACAAAACTAAGGTTATGATTTTGACAACACCGTGTTGTAAATGCTTACATTCCAACGAATGTTGTGAAGTAGCCAACAATTGTTGTCGTTGTGAATACATATAATATATGCCATTGTACGTATTCACAATGACAACAATTGTTGGCTACTTCACAACATTCGTTGGAATGTAAGCATTTACAACACGGTGTTGTCAAAATCATAACCTTAGTTTTGTCAGTGTATGCTTTGAATATTTGCACCATAAACGGTCTTATTGTTAAAATGCCGGTCATGTGTGACAGGATGAATAAAATTATGATTATTGCAAAGGGCTTAAGTGTGCGACTTCGTTTCAATTCAGCAAAATTATCACATATGGTCGGCGGTGGATGTGGGCATTTTTTATTTTGTTTGATGCATGTATTACACGATTTTGAACGTTCACTATGCCGCTTCAAGTCATCGAATTCTTTGGCCACTGCTTCACTTGACACCCAGCCACGTAGCCAGCGAATTGACTTTTCAGCGTCAGCAGTTCGATTCTAGGAGCCATTGCATTGTTTCGGGAATCTACGGTTAGGAAAACATTGAGATCATTGAAGATTTGGAAATAGACTTTGATGATGACTCTTACAAAACAAAGCGCAATCATCGTCAAAAATGGCAAAAATAAACAAATCAATGACGCTACTCTCCATGCCATCAACGTATTCATTATGAATATGGTGCACATTCCCATTGTATAGCAAATTAAAGTGTATCCAAGAAGTACAGATCTCCTTGATGCTTCGCTAAAAGGGAACAGAAATGTTTAATTTCCAAATAATTTACCAAAAGAAAAAAATCTAACCAAATCTCTCCTAAATAGATTAAAATCGGAGCTTCCATCAAACCAATCGAAAAACCTTGCAATCCCATCCCGACAAATACCTGAAAGTACTGAAAATGAAGACCAACTGGAAATTGAGTTTTCAAAAGAAACTTTACATGCCAAACCAGTTTTGAACGATACATCAAGAACCAACCGATTGCAGATGGAATATTCACGAGTATCATCGCTCTTTTTCGACCAAGTGGGTCTAATTTTCATCCAAAAAGTAAAAAAATTAAAAGATTAATTTTACCAACATTTTTGCCAAATTATCTTTCACAATAACAATTTCGTTATAAAAACTGAAGTGCTTGTGCACTTTCTTTGTACCAAAGACAATTCTTATTTTCAACGTTTACCTGTTATTGCTGCAGATAACATGCTTTTGAAGAATAAGCAATTAATATTTTTAAATCTGATTGACGTAAACAATTTAATTTAATAAAAAATACCTTCCAAGTGGCTGCACAAGAAATCCTATGCTTCCTGAAAAGTGAACATGACTAATTGAATGCTTCGGAACCGATGTGGTTTCGAATCGACACCTTTATTCATATCATTCAAGTGATAATTCATTTTCATTTGAAGAAAATGAAAATAAAAAAAAATCAATTTTTCGTGGTCGAAATTTGCGAAATTCTTCGAATTCGTGAAACAAAAAGAAAAGTATTTGAAATCAATGCCACTTTATTCAAACAAGTAAAATTCAAAATTTTCTGTAAAGCAAAATTTTCAATTAATTACTATTTTAGTTCGCTTTCGATAGAATCGTCAAACTGCCTCTTTGCCATTTCAATAGCGACTGATCTGAAAAGTATGACCGCGATTTAGTTTAGAAACAGTTTTTGCACGAGTAAGGCTTTGATGTGCCAAGAACATGACTTCTGAATGCCAAGTACATCAAAATAAACAAAGAATTTATTTATTTTTGAGTTTCCATCAACGACGATGTTATCGTTGACTACACGTCTGATGTGTGTGAGTGTGTGTGTGTATATCATGAGACACATGCATGGAAATGACTGAGTGCAATGAAACAAACATACATGAAAAAGTTTACAATGTTACAGATGTGTCTACTACAAGAGATAAAAAATTAAGAACCATAATCAAATGAATGAACTTATTGAGAACATTGACTAAAATACATCATTTTTTACTTTTTTGTTTAAAAAAAAAATCTTAATCAGAACGACATTTATTTTTTTTAAATTATTTCCCTAATAGATGAATAGATATTTTTTTTTTAATTTGACGCTTAATGCCAATTAGTTTTTGGTTTATTCTAACGTTTCATGTTACGGAGTCCAATCTAAAGCGTGTGCATTTGCTTGAGTCTTAAACTGCTCAATTGGACATGTCGAATTATCAATAGTTCGTATGTTTGCCATCGATAAATCAGCCCTTATAGATTTCACATTTTGGAAATTCTTTACAAGGCTGACCAAACTTAATTTTAGAAATAATGTCGATCCTGCTATTCCCAAATATTGAACCTGAAGACGTTTGCGCCAACGCGTTATCATCGTATTATAGACTGAAACCTTGCCACCTTTCTTCGCTTTTTCGAAATATACTTTGGTAGCTGTATCAAAGCTACCGCAGCACGCAACGTAATTGGCACCCACTTCCAGTACATACTTAATATGAGGGACGATGCCAACGTCGAATTGGTTTTTAATTTCGGAAAAACCGTTGCCAAATTTTATGCAATCTTCTAATTGTTCGATGCTCCGCAAGTCACTTTCGAATCCAGGTGAAAAATCAACACATATATTTTCGCCACACACACAATGAATCTATTTTTTTATAAGGAAGAAACAAGTGAGATTTTAAACGATAGCTTATAGAAAATTTACTCACGCTATACGCGAAAATAGCAAACAAAACTGATGCTTTTATTTGTCGTTTCATTGTGCTTCAGAACAATGAATTTGCGAATTCACAAAAGCTGGTGTGAATTTATAGAGTAAAAACTTGAGACGCATTTCATGAACTTGATAATGGAATGCAAATAACTCAATTATTTTTCTTCGAAACATTTTTTTTCATACACAAATATTTGACAAGTTTAAAGTTGAATGATCCCACAGAATTGAAAACTGAGCTGGCTATGTACTCAAAATTACGCGACCAGTACAAAGAAAAAAGATTTTTCGGGGGAAATCAAAAGCAAATAGATAGCCATTGGCCAAGTATCTATGGTCTTCGATACAGTTGTGAAAAAGTTCATAATGCGTATTGGATCTAGGTTAATCATGTATCTAACCAGTGTAAATGATATTTACGTACGTTGAAAAATTCAATTTTGGAATGATAAATTGAATGTTTCATTTTATAAATAATTTTGAACAGAAGTACCGATGATCATGAAGAAATGTCGTGTTCAGAAACAGGTAAATTAAACAAGCCATTAAAAATTGACGTAAATGATTATATTGGAATGCGTTACATTTAATAAAATCGACTTAAAGATAAGAACATTATTTGCTTATTGTCTGCAAAAGATATAATCGAAATTATAATTACATACCGAATGTTTTGTATGTTACTTTTCTTGGTGCATTTGAAAATTTTAAGCAAATAATCATAGTAACGAAAATCATTTGATGTGGTGACAATCTTTTAACACTTGGTGAAGGTTCACACTCATGTTGAGTGATAAATGAATTGATTTTACTGAGGTTCACACTCATCATTTACACACATGCGCGCTGGGGGGGTTCAGTTTGATCCCCCTCTGAGAATTTTTTCTCAGATTTGCCATATAAATGTATAAACAATAATACTGATTTTGAAGTCAAACTTTCAAAATATCGGCTCGCTTTGCCAACACTTGTTTCTCTCATACAAAATTGTTATTTTAATTTTTCCATGTAAATACCCCCTCGAGACCAAAGTCAATTTGACTCCCCTCCCCCTGGTTGATTAAATTATATAGCAATCAATTTTTTCGGTTTTCTAGAACTTTTGTAAACATACCATAACGAGCTCATTCGTTCTTTCTTATTCAGTTGAGTTGAATATTTGCTGTTGCTCAATAGTTTAACCATCCTTAAATCACAACAATGATGCTTTAAAAAATATTACAGAACGTAGTAGGCGCACCATCGTATCCTGTTTACAATGAAGGAATATATCCCGGTTTCAGCGAGAGTATCAAATTGCCTGCTTATATGCAGGAAAAAGTGGTACTCAGATGGTTAAGTGATCTTTCGGAGCTTTTAACCTTGGAAAACTGTAATGTATGAATAGTTCCTACGCTTGCTGCTTTTACTTTTCCGCACACACCTAGTGCGTAAGGTAAAGTATTGGAATCGGTCGAAAAATTAACACCCATCAAAAATGTGTTTTCTGGGTGTTTTTGGGGCCAGGGAACATAAATCTAGCGTTGCCCGGACGCAATTTTTGTTAACATGATAACTTTCAAACAAGAAAAGTAATTGAAAATCTGACTTTACAGGATGATTGGGGGTGCCGAGGAATAGAAACCATTAGATTTTGAGCGACTTTGGTTGATAGAGTGAAGTTTCATGTCTGGTGTGATGCCCATGGGAAAAATTCAATTTTTCTTCCAAAAGTCGTATTTAATGTATACTTAAACACTCAAAAATATGTATTGGTTTTTTTTTGCATACAACTAACTAAGTATGTGTAGAGAAAAACCGTTAATAAAAGAATCGTAAGGGACTAAATTTGTGTCTGTATTTCACACGAATTCTGCTAAAGAAGTCCTGTTATTCACGGTTTTTGTGTATTTTCTGTAATGAATTGAATAATTTCTTTTCAAAATATCCACTTTTTGATCTTTTCTATGTTCTCGTGTATTTTGTCCGACGTTTAAGTATAGTGAAATGAAATAAATTAATTAAGAACAAACTTCCAAATCACTTCATTTCATTTGATTGTATTGAAATTGAATGTATTGAAATATTGTCAATATTTTCCTGACTGGGTCATTCTTATCGCTTGTTATTTCCTCAATTTAAAATTTATTTATAAGCATTGGTGAATCAATTAAACCAAACGACATGAGTTTAGTCGGTTGTATCATCTTTTATTTAATATAAAATTTGTTTCTTGAGTGAATTTGAAGCGATTAAAATTGATATTAAAAAAATGCTCAACGCACAAATGCAGCTCAAAACAAATGCAGTGCTGAAACGAAACATACATCCGTTTTCATCTTATCTGATCGGCGATAAGCTTATCTTATCATAATTGGGCAATATTTTTTGCAATTTACGCGTACCATATCGAATTATTTTGGTGTAAGAACAACAAATGTTTATTCCCTTTTAACAAAGACAGTCTGTATGGTTGTTGATCGAATCAACAACTGTGATGCCCTTGATGGAGAGAGAAAAATTGTAAAAAGAAATGTCGGTTGTAAATAAATGCTGTGGTCTTGATCTCAGAAATACCCGACTTTGGCGATCGATTGGATTTTCAATTGGATGCATTGCATTCACAGGATGTGGTTGGCTTGCTTATGAAGTATCCTTTCCACCAGACAACTTGGACACCTATAAATTGGTGAAATTCACAAATTTAATTTTTCACACATTATTTATCACACACAGAAACGCCAAAGACTATATTGTTAAGTGTTTATGCGGTAAGTGTTTTTCTCGTTTTATTTAAAACGACTGATTTAATCGAGAATATAAAGGAATATATTTATATAGGAATCAATTTAATGGCGTCAATCAGCTGGCTCTTTGGAATTAGTAGCGTAAGTTTTTTCTTACTGGTCTTTTGCGCTTTGTGCTTCTTCTTCAGAAGATTTTTTTTTTCTTTTTCAATTTACAGAAAAAACTGCGGTTAACCAAAGTGGCACTGAATTGGTTCGCATGTATTTTAATTTTTTTCGCTTGTTATCTGATAACCGGAATATTTAACTGGATAAGTACAAAATCAGAGCAATCAACTGATGCGGTTGAACTCATTTTCGATATTCTTCTTCATATTTTAGCCATTGGTTTGTTACATTTTGTCCAGATTCTAGATCTGCCATCAATTTAAAGATTTTTTTATGTTTTACAGTATTGGGTCTGGGATTTTATATAACCGCTGCGATATGTAACATTTCTTTGAAAGAATGTTTAAATGAGGAACGTCTTACAAGGAAATGGCCGGCGGTTTGTCAAACATTTTCGGCGAAAAATGGCTACGATTCGGATATTTGAACCGAATGATTGGAATTTTGGACGAAATCGTTTGAAAGTGTATTATTAATTAATATTTGTGAAATAAATTCTCGAAATTCTGATACGTTCAAGCTCGGTTGGGGGGCACAAAATAATTATTAGAAACAATTACAGTATTTTGATCGACTGGCACTGGTTACATGTTATGTTATATGAATATAAGACGTTAAATCTTCACCTAGAAGATCATTTTATTTAATAATAAATTATTTAACTCAATCAATTTTAAACGTTTATTAATTAAAACAACCCGCGAATTATTTGGAAAAAAAATTGCAAACTTCTTATCTATTGAGGGTGTAATTGAGAGTGAATGGGCTTTTGTTTCGAAATTGAACACCTGGTCATCGCATTTGTTCAAAATGTCATCAACTGATAATAATACTAAATGCTATTTTAATAAATTCATTCTGTCATGCAACATGTTATTTGTCACTGTACTCGAACTAGTGACATGATTTCACTTTTCACTGCTGAAAGCGATTTGAATTTCTATTGCTCTTGAAAATACAAAAGCAGACAGATAAGATAAGACTCCCAGTTCGTACTTTAACATACAAAATTGATCAATGGGAATCGTTGCTATCATGTATGCCACTAGTGTCGAGTAAGTTGTTGAAAGAAGCACAGTTTTTTGTTCATTTGTAGAAAAACCGCAAAAGACACTTTTTTCAATATTTCAATTTTTTTTAAACAAAAATTAAACGAAAAAGTCAGTGGAAATATTTCAATTTGATTACTGAAATATTTGAGTTTAATTCAAAAAATGTATTTTTAATACAAGTTTTTGAGGAAAACATGTGATTAAAACGTGAAACGATCGGCTTACTTAGAATTTATCTTTGAATTCAAAAAATGGCCACACTTGAGAGAGATAAAAATTCAAACAAAAAGTGCAAGTTATAAAGTCTGTACGTAAACTTTAAAACTTTGGTAAAGCAAACACTCGATTTCGTGAATGTGTTTCGAATGTTGATAAACCGTTTGTTATCTGTGGTGCGATAGAGATAGAGAAATAACAAATTCACGCAACTGTATTTGAGCCGATTCCGCCACTCCAAAAATTTCGTTGTCAAAAATGTCATTTAGCCGCTCAAGCACTAGTCTCTCAACTTTTTTGAATCAAGTTTGCTTAAATCGTGTCAATGATTTATATTTCGGACATACGAAAATGTAATGTTTAATTAAGAAATATTCAGAAAACGTCGAGTAAAAATAACTGTGCACTGTATTTAAGGCTGTACACCATGTTTAAAAGTTTTAAAAATAACATTCAAAATTGCAAGCAAAATTGAGTAGGTCCGCTCAAGATATGGATATGGTTCGAACGTTTTGTTGTTGTGACACAAAAAACACAAGATTTTGGAAGGCGGCCGGAATCGCAATTGGTTGGATATCACTGTTGGCAAGCACATGGCTTATTTATGAAGTACTACTTGAACCAGCATCTCAATCAACAATCGTTTCGATCATCTACATCATTCTTGTGATTTTTTTGAATGTAAACCAACACATTTGCAAATATGTGACGATTTTTTTGTGTGGTGAGTTTGAACGGTTGAGTTTTTTTGGGACATATTTCTATTGAAAGTATTTTATTTACAGTTATCAATTGGTTGACGTGCGCAATGTGGCTATGTGGAATAACTAGAGTATGTACACGGGAAAGTCGTATCAATTAATTGGCTTCTTTTACTCTGTTCGATTTGTGAAAGGTCACCGTGATTAAAAAAATATGCATTTTCTTCTCATCAACAGAATGTTAAGGAGTGTCTATTATGGTGTCTATTATGGTGGGGTGTGGAGGTGGGCTTTTTTCTCGTTTCATTTTGCATAATTATACTTTTCTTTGGCCTTTACGAAACACTATTCACATTTTCAACATGGGAATGGGAGCATATTTGTTTGACCATTTCAACAGGTTGGTATATTTGAATATCTAAATAGAAACGCAGCCGTTTTAAACGGCATTTGCGCCAAAATAAGCAAATTTTGGAAGAGAAGAGATGATAAAGTTTCCATACTCTGCTGTATTTAGTAGTTTTGAGCTACTGTCGTATAATTAAATTGCAAACTAACCAATAGTATTCAACAAATACCAAAATGTCTCAAATATCATAAAGCAGAGGTATCATTTCTGCTTATTTTGTCGCAAATAGTGTTTTGACGTGAGCTCAGAAATTGTTCACAGCTCTGTATATGAATCGAAAAAATCGATAAATTACTAAATTTCTTTCAATTTCAGTTCTTTTTGTTTCATTTTACATCATCGCTCTTATATGCTTTAAATCAATTAAGAATGCAACGGAGTACAATTCAATTGGTAGCTCTCTAATGATGACCGCTTCGTACACACCGACATCCGAAGAACCTGAGGATGACAACGAAAGCCAAGATGAAGAGATAAAAGACGTTTAGACTTTTTTGTCTCGCAATGCAGATTGAAATGGTCCAATACTTAAACTCGTTTTAGAAGTTTTTTTCAACATGTACAAATAATTTTGCCATTAAATTACTTGAAACTGATATGAATTTATATTTATTATGAGTATTACGCATTCCATTGTCAAACTATTCAAATTATACGCTTATATTCGACATGTCTGACATAAAGAGATTATATTTTAAGATAAAATTACAATAATATTCTAGCAAGAGCCTTTGACCTTTGAATAATTTTAAACTATTATGAATGTTTACAGAAAAAATCATTGTTATCCATAAATAAAACGCCGTTGGCTTATCGTTAAAAATGACCACGTATCTCGTATGGTGAACTCTATCTCGGTGAATGCGGGTGAATGAATCATAATTTCAAAAACAATGTGTTCCAATCATGTAGCATGATCCGTTTAAGTTCGATCAAACCATGACTAGTTTCGTCCGTTGTCCATTTGGTAGCGAGAAAAATGTCTTCACTAACAAAAATTGTAACTGTGTCTGCTCCCGATAATTGTTTCCTCTCTCCATTAAGTGCTATTAGATTGAGTGCACCTTGTTGAAAATAATTCTTTGCATTAAAGTGTGCACTGAATCGTCCTTTTTCTTTGAGCGTTCGAATTTGGATCTCTTTTAATTTTACCGATTTTCGAATGATCGACACAACATCCTCAATAGTTGTATCCCAAAAGACGACTTTTTCCAAACTTAATAAGTTCTTTGCCGATTCATCCATGTTTAAATTGCCGGAAAAGGTGTGCAATTCTTTTAAATCATACAAACGAGACAGTACACAGCCTGGTTCCCCTTTTACATGCAACGTTTCAAGTGCATTAAGGTATCGAATTCGATCGATAAACGGTTGACTCAACATGTCTCCACATCGCAAGTGCAGTCGCTTGAAATGGCCCCTGGTATGGAATGTATTTAGTAAACTATAAATCGAAATGGTAATTGTATTTCTCGGATGTGTTACATGAACGATCAAGTCATTCCATTTAACGCCTGTTTCTAAGATGACCATTTTATTCTCCCACAAGAGATCCGCGTCGATTTCAAAACTCCAAATGTTCGGATTCATCTCGAACAGTACTTCGAGCTCACTTCGTTTGATATTCTTGCATTTTATCAATTGTAAATGTTCCAACGTGCTGAAATTTCGAAGCATCCAGTCGTTTCCATATTTTAGTTCAACATTTGACAACTTTAAACGCTTTAATTTATAACAATATTTTATGAAACCATCATAAAATTGAACGTGAACGTGACAATCGATCAATTCAACGGTTTCAATTCGGCCCAAAATATGCTTGATGCGTTTGATTTTAACATCAGTTAGATCGACATCGACAAAACAAAGCTCGATCAATGACTCAACGCAGTTGAATTCAACATATCGAAATTGGCTCAATCTTCCCGTTGGGATCGTAATTTTTTCCATATATTTCGAAAATGCATTCAATTTATAACCAAAAATGGTGCCACGAAATCTATGGCGATAAACAACGATTCCGTCGTCAATACAAACAGCGCTTGGCGAAAAATTTTGCAAAAAATATGCACCACAGATTATATTGAATCGTTTACATGTACCGGCCAATGCATTTAGCTCCTTCAATGTTAACCAATCGAATAATTTGTACAAACACTTGACGTTTAGTGCGAAAATCGCCGATGAATACATTTCATTTTTGAGAGAATCATAAACAGATTTTGTTCTATTGCTATCAACATTGCGAGTTTTTTTACGAAGAAAATTCATTGAGATTGGCTGGAATTGAAAAAATGATCTAATTTTTTGAATGGCGAGAAAATCGAAGGAGATACAATAAAAAAACTTACTTTTTAAAAAAGAATAAAACATATCCCTTGGTCGAGATTTATCTTAAAATAAAAGCACTTTATTCTTAAACTGCTCCAGTTTCAGTCAAGTGTGCTACTGACTCTAAATGATTCAAGCAAACAGCTGTTTCGTATAACATTTCGATGATCTCACTGAAATGTTTCAAAGAAATGATACAAACCAACTGATTAGATTTAACCTCATCTTATGACTTTTCATTTAAAATACTTTACAATAAAAAAATGCATTTCTCATCTACTAGGCTACATGACTGCAGTATTTATTACGTTGAAAAAAAAAATCTCAGAAAATAATGCGTATACACATTTAGTTTTTATTTCATTTGAGATATTCTTATCATTTTTTTTTTTGCGTTGAGTTTATTCAATTGCATAGTGTGCATGATTACAAAAGTTCATACAGATACTAAAGTACTAGGGGGCAGACACGTGTGGAATAGGATTAGACTTTTAGTGTAATTATTCGAGAAATTGCAATGAAATAGCAACGTCTGTGGATAGATTCGCGTGGAATAGCAAAAATTGTTTCACTTCAAATCCATTTGACATTTCTTTTGACGTCTATTGATGGATTAGTGGAATAGTGCGGAATAGCCGAATTAGCATTTTTGACGGAGATAATGCATGATTCGGAATTTATTCTTTGGTGTCTCTCCCCTAGCGAAAGTACGAATAAAATATATTTAAATTATTATCAACTTTGTTATTGTAGTATTTGAATGCCAAAAATATATAAATCATTTTACTTTAGACTTCTTTGCCAATCAGCTCATAAGGTCCTTCTTACTAAACTCTTGATAGCGGTTATCTTTGTTCAACCATGGAACTTGTACCATGGCAAATGTATGACTAATTTTGAAACATTGCGAAAAAATTGGTTTTACAGACAGCGACATCAGATATATGATGACATGCACTGACACAAATTAATATATGTTTACTACCGATGTGTTTGGCATGTTTTCTCCTTCATGAGTCCATGCCGGTCGATCCAACTTTTGACCAAATTTTTTTGTATTTCCATGATGGAAATTCCATCCAAATACGCTGAATATTGGCTGTTCAATCTGTTATTCCATCGGCATAACCGAAATACAATCCAAAAGAAACAGTGAAAATCATTTTTGATTCAAGTTCAATGAGATTTTATGCAGACACCGGCATGAACCGATGTCGAATGTCGATAAATGAAAAAAATGTTTACCTTATATAGAAAATATCACTACATAAAACATAAGAATTAAAATCAACATTTTGCCTGGAGAAGTCGCGCTGCGTTTTTACTCACCAATCAAGTGTAGCGTTCATTGTTCGTCGCAAACGGAGCGCCAGTTAATACTATTAATTTAATAGTCCATTGCGAATAATGTTACACGACAATTTTCTTATCACCAAAAAGCTCGAATTTTTGATAAGAAACGGCAGATCGCCAAAATGCTCCATCGAAATGAAAGAACTTTTAACATTGCTTTTAGAAGTTTTTTTCCCAACATGTATGGGTACACCGAATCAAAACCGACCAAAAACCAATTTTTCTAGGTCAATGTTTCATGACGTATGCTCATGCTACGTCAAAATACGAATTCCATTTATTATCATTTAAAAGGTGTTTCGCGTGGCCGGTGACGTCCACGTTTCGCGTTGTTGTGAACAAGTGTGGTAAACAAAGGAATTTTTTTGATCAATTCAAGGTATTTCTACGATAAGATTTTTCCTGCGTTTTACCATTTCATGCATCAACTGAACATTACTGTCAAACACTTGTGATTTGTATTGTACGATTTTTATTGTGCATCATAAATCTTGTATTAATTTCCAATTGACAATTGGCGACTCCCAAGAACTGAATGAAAAGAACTTTTGGATTGCGTTTCATTTTTTTTTGTATTTTTTGGCTATTTGATTTGAACTCATGAGCAAAATCTTCAAGCATTATAAAAAATAAGCAATAATTAGATTAAAAGAGTTCAACAAAGAATAATCTCGACAGTTCGAGAAATTTGACTTTATCAAGTGGAAATTTATTTTTAAAACCGAAACAACAACGCTGTATTGCCAAATAAATTGATTCAATTTAAAAACGCAAATGATTAGCCGGTTTACACAATAACAAACCAAAAGAAAGTAAACACAAAAACAACTCTATAACACGTGTCAAATTTTGTCTGGCATCGTATCATCAAATACAACAATACAATTGAGATTTATTTGTATGTCAATGAGTTGTTTTACACGCCAGTTTATTTATTGCGTTGAATCAATGCGCCATTCACCAAATAAAGGCACAACAACTTTCATCGTTACTACTTCAAAACGACGCGATTGCATATCTATAGCGGTTCCACCATCAAAATCGTTGGTTTTCGATATTGGCGCCATACACCTTCCGTTTTGGCAAAATAATTACAAATTTTCCATGTCAAAATCATTCGTCACTGAAATTTATGAAAGAGAATAAAAATAAAATGAATTGCTAACGAAATGTTTTGATCATTGCAATCAATGTAATGGCATTTGTTTGAAATTGCTTTTTTTATAGCGTTAAAATGACGAAGCAAAATGATTTCTGCACTTCTAATATGCGGAAAAATACTAAAATTACCCGTATTTGAATAAGAAACTTCCTTTTTTAATTATTTTATGAACGTTGAAGGTGTCAATATTATTTTAATCTTAATCGTTCAAGGAAAATAGAATTATTTTTTTAATGACGGAAAAAGACTGTTCTCGAAGTTTGTTTTGATGATATTTGATTTTTGGACTTTTTATTATTTCAAGTAGGTTTCCAACATTAAAAACACTTATCGTCTTAATAACACACTGAACGAACCTCTTTTTTTTTGTGGTGTTTGTCGTCCGCATTCATATGTGATAAACCCCTCATGTGAATATTTTGAATACTATTCAACTAATTCTCGGCGGTGCGGCACCACGAATCAAGCCACAATGTCTAAATTGGTCGAATAAGGAAAATTTGTACTTTTTCGTACAAAAATGTCACTCAATTAACTATTATCAATTTCACTTACGATCGGTTGACCATTTCATTTTCACAAGGGAATGAATGGAAAAAAATGGGGAAAGTTCTTTAAATCAGAACCTATAGCTATAGCTAGATCAGATAAAAATCTTTTGAATGATGTAAACAACGATTGAGATAAGGAAAATTTGTTTTGCCACTTTATGGTATGACGACAAAAAGTACTCACTGCGAGTTTTTAGTACTTCGCTTTTAATGCTTTGTTTGACTTTTTTTAGACGTTTAACTGTGTGCGTGATGTGCCTAATTGTTATGAACCAACACGCACCGGATTTTGGCACATTCTAAACAAAGTTTTTCTTCTAGAAATTTCATGATTTTATTTATCAATTTCACTTTTATGGTGCTTGAATCAGTGTTATCAGTGTTAATACTATTATTTTTTTTTTTTGTTCCAACTTCCCACAATGAAATATATTCAAAGTTGATCGCCTATTTTGTGTGCTCCTTATGATTTCCACACACTTTTTGTAACTGTAACAATAATAAACAATACCTCACATGTAATCAGTGCATGTTAGACATCCCGCTAATGATTTTATTTCACGCCAGACAGTCTGATTAATATTAAAAAATATACCGTCTGCCAAATAATAGTACAGTAGCACGCATCAGTTATTCGTAATCATTATTTACAACATAATCATTCGCCGATTTTGTTGTTGTTGTCTATGGCTTGAATTTAAACGAAAAAATACGACACGTATTTTCTATATTTTCCATTTCTTTCCATACGTAGTTGATAAATGACACATGCGTTTGTTATTAACACGTCGTTTGTTATTATGATGATAAGAATTTTGGTGTAGGAAATGTACATGAAACAATCATGTACAAATTAAACTAACATCATAAAAAAATTTCGAGAGCATTTCTTCCACAACAATACACATCAATGCGTTATCATGTGATAAGACAAAAAAAGACTTAAAATTCGACTATATAAGGGTAGAATCTGGCGCAGTTATTTAGAACAAAAGTTGACATTGTTTTGAAAGCATTCATTGAACAATTCAATACATTTGGAAATTTATACCCGAAAGAAGTAAACGCGAAAATGAGTTTCAAAGGCAAAGTTGTGTTGGTAACCGGCGCTAGTTCCGGTGAGTATATTTATTTGGCAATTACTTTGAAGCTAATCGCTTTTTTTTCGTACACAAAGTGAAGAAGTTATATTAATAATTCAATCAATTTAAACTTTGTTTGTTTATTTTCGTTTTGTATAATTAGGAATTGGTGCTGATGTTGCGCATCATTTTGCAACAAAGCTCGGTGCAAAAGTGGCGATTGTTGGTCGCAATGAGAACCGTTTGAATAATGCGGCCGAAGAGATTAAAAAATGCGGTGGATCAACTCCGTTGGTGATCACTGCCGATGTTACAAAAGACGCTGCACGCATTATCGATGAAACAATCGATGAATTCGGCAGATTGGATGTATTGATCAATAACGCTGGTTATGGTGATACCACACCAATTCTAGACGCTGACATTGAAATTTTCGATCGTTTGATGGATACAAATGTCCGCAGTGTCATCAATTTAACGAAATTGGCCACGCCATACCTTGAAAAAACCAACGGAAACGTGATCAATGTATCTTCCATGGCCGGCATTATTCCATACAAGGAACACTTTTATTCAATATCAAAAGCAGCATTAAATCAATTCACCAAAGTGATGGCCAATGAACTTGGACCCAGAGGCATTCGTATAAATGCAATTAATCCGGGTTTCATTAAAACTGGAGCATTCGATGCGGCTGGCTGGACGGAAGAACAAAAACAAAAACTATTCGATAAAATTGGAAAGAAAAATCCACTTGGACGAATTGGCGAAGTAACTGATACAACGAAATTGATGGCATTTTTGGCTAGTGATGAGGCCGCATTCATTACTGGTTGCCTTTATGTCGTGGACGGTGGCGGAATGGCTGCAAACAATTTCAATCAGGATTAAGTTAGTTATTTTTGTTTTGACTTTACTATAGATTTAGTAACCATTACTCTGTTAATTTAGTTGTTTTTTTTAAAGCATGAAGTAGCAATCAATCAAAGTCATTGTTTTTTATAGGAAACTCGAAATAAATTTATATTGTAATTTAAACGTGAATTTTTTGTGTTTTATCTAAAGATATCTCTCATCTATTCAAAATTCTCTTTTCTTACTCGGCTGTGGAATTGATTGCAATGAAAACACTATTCTTGCAAACCCTTATATAGCCGAATTTTAAACTAGATTTTTCTTTTATCAAACGATAACGCATGTGTATTGTTGTGGAAAAATTGATCTCGAAATTTTTTATGACGTTCAGTTGTGAACGTGATTGTTTCATGTAGGTTTGCTACACTTAAATGCTTATCATCATCATAACAAACGACGTGAATATCAATTACGACTATCAATTACGTATGGAAAGAATGGAAAATATAGAAAAAAACGTGTTGTAGTTTTTTTGTTAAATCAAGCCTTTGACAACAAAAAATTGGTGAATGAATTCGTTGCAGACAACGATTATGAAGATAGGGTCATTTTATATGTACAATTGTACAGCGTATATGCAACTGATATGATTCGACTGTTTGTTTTTTTTTTTGCACAACTGAGACAATGTGGCGTTGAACCGTGAATTTGTTTGTGAATGCCATTTTTTACGACTCTTTCATTTATTTTTTCGTTTAGTAGGCCAGTTCAAATACACAACACGAACATTTATATTTATCAAGTAGATTTAATCGCGAAATATCTTCCACCTAGCATATCAAAGATCGTGACTGCCATTTAAAACACAAAAATACATCAAATACGAAAACATTTTGATGAAAAATTCTTAGACATGATAAAATGCTACAATCTATTAAATCGCTCTTGAACATTGTTAATTGAATAACGTTGAATTTAAATTTAAATGGAAACTTTTCCAATACTTTTGCGAGTTGGTTGCTCGAAGAGCCTATGTTTTCTATGATTTTTAAAACGGGAGTTTTGAATTTGAATTTACGAAAATGTAATCCTTTACAATTGAGTGGAGTTCACTTACAAAGGAATATACGATATAATTATTGAACCATTTGGAATTGTGGAAAAAACTCCAAATATCGCTAAAAAATAATGCTCAAGAACCGAAGATATAATTGAAGTAGCTATCATTTTATTTTTGTTCATATTAAAAGAAACTTCAAGTAAAATTTTGATTGGTATGGTCAGTGTACCATCTTTATTTACCTTCACGAGTCATATCTAATTAAAAATCTATTAAAAATAATTTAATTTTAGTAAATTGCCTCGCAATTAGAATGATAGGCAAACCGACCTTCAAGTCGGTTCCAGTTCCAGTTCCTGGGCGATTTTACTGTTTGGTTTTGATTATATTTTGGATGAACCGTGGTAAGAGTGAAATGCACCTGTAGAAATTGGCCAAAATTCTTTGTGCAAGAAAAACGTATTGAACCTTAAGTAACTACTATTAATTTTTCAGAAATATTTTTCTTCGATAAATAGATGATTGTGATTTCAAAAGGATCACATAATATTACGCATGTTTGGGGTATAACCATTAGAAATTCAAAATACATGCGAGTTAATTGCTAAATAATTGTTGTTTATTACGATAAATGGTTTCTGATTTGATAAAAATGAAAAACACTCAATGATGTGTACAAATAAAAAATGTTGCTTAAAGATGTTTCAACGGAATTTGAGAACCAGGCGGCCAAATCCACTTTCAAACTTACATATAGGCTCCAGCCTATTGTAAACAATGGTATTGAGTGACATGTAAATATTTTCTCGCTGAACGCCTGGTTCTTTAAAAAAAATTATGATGAAAAAATTGAATTAAAATGTAAATGAATATGAATATTAAATGAAATGTGAGTTTGGAAATTTAATTCATTTTCTGTCATTTGCTTAGTCGTTGAATCAGTGAAATAGTCAATTTAGTTTAAGATTTCTTCAAGTGGGTACGGCTTTTCATGTGTCTTGTTAAGTTTGATTTTGCTGCAAATCCAATTCGACACAACTTACACTGAAACGGCTTTTCACCCGAATGCGTTCGAATGTGAATTTCCAAATCAGCTTTCTTCGATTGAAAGAACTTCCGGCAACGATGGCATTCATAGCAGCGTCGATAACAGTATTTCTCGTGTGCTTTGCATTGTGATTGCTTCGAAAATCCATGGCGACAAATCGAACATTTGAATGGCAACTTTTTCGTGTGAAATTTCATGTGAACATTAAGATTGTGTTTCAGGTTGAATTCTTTCAAACATTGTTGGCATTTGTATGGTTTGACGCCAGTATGTACCCGCATATGTCGAATCAAATTATTCTTCTCTGATCCAAATGATTGCTGACACAAATGGCATGCGTAGCGAATAGCCTTGCAACCAGTTTCATGCTCAATCTTTCCATCTTTGATGTTGAATCCTTCTAAACAGACATCGCAGTGAAACAGAAACTCTTCAACGTGCACTTTCTGATGGGAACAGAGATTTTGTTTGCTAGTGAAACGTTTTGGACAGTAATCGCATCCAAATGGCTTTTCGCCAGTGTGTTTTAGTAAATGTCGGTTCAAGTCTGACTTGTATTCGGAGCTATATTCGCAGACATCACATTTATGTTTCTTCGATTTACTTCTTTGATTGACAACAGCATTTCGTCGCTTTGTGTCATTCACACTGTCAACAATTTCCATCGATGTTCAGTTGTTTTCATCTTGTGGTCGCTGCATCTGACTATGTTCGACATTATCATGATCTTCTACTGAATCGGCGCTCTTCTTTTGATTTTCTTCTTTCTTTCCATCGATTTCTGTCTTCACTTCCGTCTTCACCTTATCCGTATTCAAGTGCGTAAAATCGTATTCGCCACACTACCGGAATTTCAAGCAACACGTCACCAGGTTCTTCTTTCACAACAAATTCTTGTTTGATTTCGGCTGGTTCAATGCAACACTGGTTTCTACTTTCACCAATTAGCATTTCCATAGTCTCCAATTTGGATGCAAGATTGTGACGGACTCTGTCTATTGTAGTAGCTCGCCTAGAAAGTAATTAATAGAAAATAATAATTGTCAGAATCTCTTTTTCAGCTCCGAATTTCGTTCTAGATTTCGTTAAGTATGTGGTAGCCATATATTTGACTAGAAAATAGTCCTTTTCTTGTGTTTGATTTCTATTTAATTGGATGGTACGCAGCTTGCAACAACAACAACAACACAGTCCGTATATCAATGAGTCATCAAAAACTACTTACTTCTTTTTGTTTCGCAGTTTATTCACCACAAATGTATGATTCCAATCGATGTTCACTCATTTAACGAAATTGTGACTTATTTCTCGAGAAAATGGTTGGAAATTCAATAAAATACTTTAAAAAAAATCGAAATTCCAATTGCGTCTTTATGGAATGTAAATGGTGTAAAAATGGCGTGATCAGCTTTGGCTATGGAGAAATACGTCCTTTAGTCTTCACAGCCACTGACATAAAGAACGAGCATTCACAGCCATGATGAATACGAGGTTATAAAGTGAGCCACTTGCATTTGTGTGAGTGTAGCATGGAGCGGCGATTGTGCTTACATTTCAAACATCTCTTGAAAGATGTCTCTAGCTGCAAATGGAAACATAAGACATTTTATTAACTCCAAACACATTTTAATTTCAGTCGATCCACATGTAATATTATTTTTTAATCGCACGAAAACCGCAAACAAATTTTAAGTGGTTTTTTTCGTATGGCACAATTTAACATAAATAATGGTTGAGATTGTTACAATTCCGAAGTTGACATGATTTTCATAATTTAATGCACAAATTTATCTGAGTCTCATGGGTCTATTTATCAAACAGAAAACAAACATTAGAAAAATAGCAAAACAGGAATTGTGATATTGTGATTGGAAAGATCTTGAACAAACAAAATTTGGAAACATAAACGTTTTAGCTTGTACGAGTACAATATCTTAATTATAGAATAAAAAATTTACAATTAAAATGTATCTTTTCGTAATTTATCATCTGTTATATTCAATCGAAAAACATAATTGCCTAAAGCTTCGACAACAGTATTTATGAGCAAAACGTGCACAGATAAGACATAAAAATAAAAAATATTCGAGAAAATCTTCATTTGCTGTCTTTCGTAATTCGCATCTTTTACACAATATTCACACAAATCGATAGACATTTTTTATTCTCAGGGAACGTAGTAATATGTGCTGAAAAGTTCGTTTTAATAGAGTAATTATAGCTGTCACTTTCACTCTGGCAGTACGCGCACACAATAGAATTTGCACATTGAGAATACAAGCATAGTGTGTGTCGTGAGTACAAATTCTACTGTGTGCGTGCACTGCCAGAGTGAAAATGATAGCTGCGAGAGTAATGCCGTTTACCATCAGTTGATTATTTCACAGCTGGTGTCACAACATTTCAATTCGACTGTTCGTAGCAATTATTAGTCTGAGATATTTCGTCTGATAAGATGCAAAGTTGTTTAGTAGTAAACTAAATTGAATTTGTGCTTCAACCGCATGGCAAAGTAAAAAATTGAGTTAAGCAGCTTTGAAAAGAAAAAAAATCACAAAAATGCATCAAGCAAATGGGGCCAAGGAAGGAACGAATTCTGGAGACAAATCCACTTTTCGAAGAATTTTCGCTCAGGTAGGTATTACTAGAATTTACTAATTCAATTTAAACGAAACTAAATAAACTAAACATTCGTAGGTTCTTGCGGTGACCGTTAAAAATTTGCTCATTCTTGATCTGGGATTTTGCTATGCATTTGCGATCATTGCAATTCCAGCGCTAACTGGTATTCACAATAAGTACAATCAAAATGAGACGCTATTAATAACAGTGGCCGAGGCTTCATGGATTGGTTGGTTTTGTATAGCGAATCAAACTTTGTTCAACAGAAAATACAAATAAAGATCATGCAATTTCGTCCAATTTTTTCCAGGAAGTTTAATGCACGTACTTCCGCCGATTGGATGTTTATTTTCAGCACTGATAACAGGCATGTGAAATTGACGTTTATGCATGTTATAAAGTAATTACAATGACAATTATAAACATATTTCATTCGAATAGATCCACTTGGACGCAAGAGATCAATGATTCTTGTGAATATTCCACTCGCAATTGGATGGTTTATGTTATATCGCGCCAGCAATGTTTGGGAAGTATATGTTGGAATTGCAATGCAAGGTAATTAAAATGGTTTTAAAAAAAATGTTGTTTTAACGGCAAAAGGCAGCTTTTTGCACCAGAAAATTCATGAAAATCATTTATTTCAGATCTCGGGGAGTCGCTAGCGGTATTGCAGCGGCTACAAATTATGTTTTTGGATTTGTCACCAAAAAAACCTATCACAACTTGGAGAACACGCTTTCAATGCAGGGCACAACGATGCTTTATTGTATGATAAGTGGCTTTGGGCTGGTTTTAACCTATTTCATTTTGCCCGAAACAGAGAATCGATCATTGGAAGAAATTGAATTACATTTTGCCGATAATTCGAAAAGTATTACTGATCGCAAAATTCCAAAATTGAATAGTGAAGCTGTTAAAGTGAATGATGATGGCAAAGAGTCGGAAAGACATTTCTCCAATGGGCGAGAGTAACTCAATTTTATACATGAACATAACGTGTGTAATTTCAAAATTATTTGGAAAAATAAATTAATTTACAAAGATTTGTATGGTTTTTACTGTACTGTTTTAAACAATGACTGTCAATTAGAACATTATTGAATCTGAGAACAACAACGGCATTTGTTCTAAATAGATATCGAAAAATCTTGATAAGAATTTATTCCATTTCGAGACTTAATTGAATATTTGTGTAGCTGGAAATGATTTAATGAATGTCACCTCCTATTCTCGCTTACAGACATTCACACATGTGCAAGAGGTGATATTCTCAGCCACATTCCATTCAGTAAAGCATTTTCATGCTTTGAAAATAATAACAAAATTTATTCAACTAAAATTGCAGCGATATAAGTGCACGAATAATAAAGATAAGTTCCAGATCTGCCTGTAAAATCGCAAACAAAAAGCAATTACTTTAGAGCGCTTTAGATCAATTTTCATCAACAGAAACATATTAAATAAAAAAAAATATCGCATCAAGTCCAAGGTTCAAAGTTAAACTTTGAAACAAAGTACTTTTTTTTTTCAAATATTATCCAAAACAAATACAGACTACAAAAAATCAAAATGCACGAATTGCTTCCATTTCAATCTACAGATAAATCAGTTATAAATATGCAATTGTACATTCTCAGGTTAATTCGTGATAATTTGTCTACTAAACGATTTCATTTGTTTCAAACTGTATGACTTCGCTTGAGAATTGAGATTCACCTGTAAATTCCAGTGTGAAATGGAAGGGAAAATAAATGGTCGATTTGATGTTGAGTATGTGCATTTGTGTGTAATAACATTTGATTTAAATAATTCAAGCGTGTCAAAGCACTTTTTCTACATAACATTTACAATGCTGACTATTCCGAAACAAAACACAGTGTCGTGTGCCGACGACAACCAATAACAACAAACATAGCAGCTATGGCAACAGATGTGCACAATGCAAAAAAGTACGTGCGAATGTACGACAAAAACAAACGATGAGAGAACGAAACAAAACACAGTCTCACAATACACACATAACATAAACAGTTGGGCGCACGCGGCTCGGACACAATTGAAAGAGTTTGCATTAGCAAAAACATGTTCCATTTCAATTACTCTTAGTAAAATTTTTGGCACATGTATTTTTTTTTTTCATCTCCACAATAGATCGCTGTAGCTTTGTTGCTCAGTACCTGAATAAGATGCGACGATTTAGTTGCCGTTGTGTAGCCGATGAGAGTAGTTCACATACTTTGATGCTTTTTTTTCACATTTTAACAGAATGTAAGTGATTAATTTCAGTAATTTTCTTTATTGACAGAAGCATATTTACAGTGAAGAGCAAACGATCTTGAATTGGTAAAAAGGATCGGAACTTTTCAATAAAAAAATATTCTAATAAAAGTGACAGAGGAAACCAATTGCGTTGAATAATTGAAAGAAAGTGAAAAAAGGCGGAAATAAGCAAAAACGAGATCGATCGAAAAAAAAATCAAAAAAAAAAAAATCCGGAACAGTGTTGTGAAAACGAATGATGAAAAACTTGTTGGTTCTCTATAGAAACTGTGATTACTCTCAATTTATTCAATTATAAAAACGTTTCTGAATACGAAAATTGTTCTGTCAATAGCGAAAAATAGCATTGATTTTTTTTTTGGACAAGCGACGAAACATACAACCTCAAGTGACGTTTCAAATGTTTATTGTTATTGTTGCTATTTATCACCTCGTTCACATACCACTTATCTCCAAAATTTAATAAAATTATGAATAATATGATATTCAATATTTTTTTTCTTCTCCGTTTCATTCCAGTTTTTACGGCGACCAACCACAAAACCTACGCTTCCGACGGTGTTTTTACAAATAAAGTCAATGGCATCAAAAAAATCATCGTTTATTTGCAAAAACTAAATGTCACTCGTGATACTCGATTTTTGTTAAATAAGCGTCCATTCAAGCGGCATTTTCTTTATAAATTCTGTAATTTGCGAAAGGTCAAATAAAACTTCAATGCTCGCTACATATTTATTACCGATTTGATAAATATCATTGAATGACCTTCATCACACACTTTGAATCATCTGTGATATATTGAATATTTACCAATTAATTTGCTGACACGTTGTTTTGCATGTTGTGATATTGTTTAATTAAATATAAAAAAAAATTAACCCCATCGAGATGAGTCAACCGAAAATTTGCGATAAAAAGAGCGAGAGGAAAGCCGGTCGATTTCGTCGGATTTTGGCACAGGTATTTCCTTTCAAAACATTTGCAATTCGAAACTCAGGCTGAGAAATCCCCGTTTTCCATCTTTGGCATTTTTTTTTTTTTTTTTTTTTTGAAAAATTTATTCAGCCGCAAAAATGATTTTTTACTCAAAGAGATATTCGAACGTTATCACAACTCTCTTGTATTTTGACAGCTTGTAGCAACGACAGTGAAAAATTTTCTTCTCTTCAATTTGGGTTTGTGTTTCTCTTTGCCAACAATTGTGATTCCGGCGCTTACAGGGATACAAAATGAATACAATCAAGGTGAAACGCTTACAATCACACCCGTTCAGGCGTCTTGGCTAGGCAAGTGATATTTTCAATGACGTTGATGGAAATCACATTGAAATAATGTCACAATAAAATACAAAATTTATTGATATTCAATTAGGTGCTCTTGCTTACCTGGTCCAACCATTTGGAAGCATACTATCGGCGTTAATCACAGGTGAAAACATGTTTAATATTTTGAATAAACTACAACAATTTTTTTTTGTTCGATACAATGAGTAGTAAAACATGTTCGCTTCAATGCTCAAACGAGTCTTTGGATCGTTATTTGTTATTTGTTAATGCCAAATGTGAGTTTCATTGAATAATTTATTTCTTTTCTCATTATGAATAGATCCACTTGGTCGAAAAAGAGCGATGATTCTTGTAAATATTCCATTCGCAATTGGATGGTATATGTTATATCGTGCCACTACTGTTTGGGAAATATTCTTGGGTTTTGCAATGCAAGGTAATTAAAATGGTTTTTAATTAAGCTGCGAAGTGAATATTGAAATTTACTTATTTGAATGAAGTGGTTTCATATTTTTTGTTTTGCCGTCGTCTATCTATACCACCGATATGTATCTTTTTATTGTGTTTTTTTTTTTCAAAAGGCTTGGCAGTTGGACTTATGGAGGCACCTATCGTGACCTATTTGGGAGAAATATGGTAATTAGATTTAATGACTTCAAAATCAAGTAGATATGTGTCTTTCGCACATCATTCAATCGCGTATTTAACATTCCTTGAACTGGTTTTATTCATGAGTGATTTGCGTACAAGATATTAAATAAATATGCACGTGACTATTTAATTATTCACGACTTATGCTTGAGCAAACTGATTCGTTGCTGCTGTGGTGAGGTGCTGTTATTGTTTTGAAAGTTTCTTGACAAATCGCTAAATCCAAATTCCTCATTTTTTACACAAATTACCCAACGAGCAGTAATAAAAACGTTCATCGAGTCAAAGTATGTGATATCATAAACAGCAACGCTTCATGGTAGTAGCAGCCCGAACATTCATTTATCGCAAACAAATTTAATTGAAGCATCAATGTAAACATGAATTACAAATTAAATCCACAATCGCTAATCTCTTTTTATAATTTTTTCCGGTGATCGTGATTTGGGTTCCTGGTGTATTAGTGAGCCTTCGGTACGTGGCGTGTTGATCGGTTATACATTCATTTTTGGTACAATTGGAATGTTCACAATATACTTGATGAATACGTTGATGGCATGGCGAACGGTGTGCTTTATTTGTTTGTGGGTGTAAGTACCAAGGCATTACATTCCATTACATGTTGATTAATTTCCATTAATTCCATTTTTTTCTTCTGATTATCTCTAGACCTGTGTTCACCGCGTTTGCAATATGCTTTATCCCAGAAACAATGCAATGGCTATTGTCGAAGAACCGAACTGCTGATGCTGAAAAAAGCCTGCGCTGGCTGAGAGGATGGGTGTCAAGTGAAGCGGTGGCGCAAGAATTCAACGATTTGAAGCGGCACAGTGAACTTTCGAAATCGTGTAATGCTTGCATCAAACAAAATGTGAAATGTTCACATCCGCTGCCGACAATGGTGGAAAAATTCGCCGAATTAAAACGAAAACGAACATTAAAGCCATTATTCATTGTTATCTCGCTATTTTTCCTCGCACAATTCTCCGGCATTCTGTCAATGAGACCATTTATGGTGCAAATTTTCAAAGCATACGAGAGCCCAGTTAAACCCGATCAAGCCGCCACAATTATGTCTGTTTTGGATAATTTGGCCAATATCACATTTATGCTACTTGTAAAACTGACTGGCAAACGAAAATTGTATCTATTTTGTTTGTGCGGTGTGTTGGCATGTGCTGGAACGATTACATGGTATGGATACACTTATCTTCGTAAGTATCTATATTTCTATGTATTGTTAACCAGTGAAAAACACATTTTTTTTTTATTTATATTTCGTAACCTTTTTTTTTTGTCCAGCGCCGGGCTATGTGTCATTCGATCAAGCACATCACAAACCATTCGAATTGGAAAATAAAGATCTTGGATACATTCCCATGGTTTGTTTAATGCTGTGGTCTTACTTTGCCTTCTGTGGATTTAATGGTATGCCTTGGATGTTCTTGTCTGAATTGTTTCCGTTCAAGTGAGTATTTGGCTCAATGAGATTTTACTTTTTTTTTTAAATTCATCCTTTATTTTTTTTTTAAAAGAAGAAAATTTTTAGTTTTTAAAGCAAAAGGCCGCTTTTGCACCAAAATATTCATAAAACCCATTTATTTCAGATCACGTGGAATGGCTAGCGGTGTTGCAGCGGCCACAAATTATGCATTTGGATTTTTCACCAAAGTAAGCATATTTCTTTGAAACAAAATTGATTTGTTGATATTGATTACAATAATAACTAGAACTTTGGAAACAAACGAAACACTCTAACTGTCTTACTTTTAAAAACCTAGAAAACGTATTACAACTTGGAGACAACGCTGTCGTTGCCTGGTGCTTCGTTGTTGTACACAATCATCTGTCTATTTGGTCTTATATTAACGTACAACATTTTGCCGGAAACAGAGAATCGCTCACTCGAAGACATTGAACTGCATTTTTCGGATAATTCAAAAAAGATTACCGATCGCAAAATAGCAAAACGAGCGAAAAATAAACATAGAGAAAATGGAAATCCGGAAAAAGTATTCGCCGTTGCGATCAATGACAGTGAAAATAAGTCAAGCTATTACAACAAAGGCTTTGAATTGGAAAAAGTGTAATTTTTTATCTCTTAGGTTTTTATTCAATTTTAAAATTGTAGGAGTGTTTATGTCTTTGAGACATTTTTATCTTTTATTGACAAATTTTAGATTTTATTCAATTGTGTTTAATTTTAATTACGATTCCGCCCAATCCAATTTCAATTGTGTGAATATTAGTTACCATTTTGTTTTGAATTTATTTACAGTGATCTCCATTAACAAAATCAATTAGATTGTACCAAATAGCATGTATGAAAAATAGGCGAAAATATTAAGAACAAAAATAGAAGAAAGCAATAAAAATTCAAATTAACACGAAGAATTGATAAAATGCATATTTGTTATTATTTTTCTTATCTGGTTTGGAAATGATGCTGAACATTGTTACGTGTCTAGACGTCCATATTTAAGTAAATTCTATTATTGGCGTGTGCAATAATATTTACTTGTTTTATCATCTGTTTGTGAGTACAATCTGAGGAAGCCAGACATCTTTTGTATTTTACGAATGTCTATGCCATATAGGTGAGTAAATTTCGATGACACCAAATTTCGGTGATTATGGGTAAAAATAAGAATTTTGAACTTTTTATTATGCATTTTTATAGGTAAAGATACTTGTACGAACTTGACTTGATATTGGACAAAAACATTGATCTGAATTCTCGAATTTTGTGATTGTAAATATTTCACTGTTTACAAACGTCATTTGCAAGCGTCCAACTGTATTTTATACATTCTATTCTGTCTTGTATGTTCAATATCAGACGAGATTGTACTTCCCGATAAAAATACACGGTAATTTGCTCTGCACAATTAAAACGGGTTTTTAATTTATTGCGATTTAGTGCTTGGACTTGCCATTTTATTCTAATTTTCGATTACATCATTTTTATATCATTGAAAACATCGATTATTTATTGTCTGTGAAAAAAATAATTCAATTAAAAGAATAATAATTATTCTAAAGATAAATTATTTATCTTATCTGTTGGTAGTATAATGTCTATGATCGTCCCATCACAATTGAAATACAACACAAAACTTCACGTCAGCTCAGCACAGATGTGCTTCACCTGTCATTTAATATTTAATGAGATAATTTTTATTGAATATTGAAAGCATAGAAGTCAACGTATTAAGCTAATAAGCCGTAAAATTAAAAACCGTTTGAATGAACGAGTGACTTTCATTAGCAGAAGTTTGTCGAGAGTTATGAGTATTAAATCCTTGGTTGAATTACCAAATGAAAAATTAGAAACCAGTTTGAGTAACGTTACTTGAGAACAAACGTTATTATATTATCGAAGAAGTAATAGAAGGAATGTCGTGTTTCATTCAATCTTATGTCATTGATTTGCACCTGGATCTTCGAGCCTTGTGAGTGACATGTTTGAAAATAAGTTGACGTAAAAAGCTAACAAAAACCAGAAACTAAACTCAATGACAGTTAAGGTGAAGAATCCAGACATGTTGACTGAAGAGAACCACCAATATAGATATCGTCGCTTCATCGCACAACGCACAGATATAAGCAATTTTGCTTAGAATTTCTAAGACTTTAATTTATTTAGAGTTTTTTTTATTGCCAGAATTTATAATAATTTAATGAATTCCATGAAAAAATCTGTAATGCATGGAATGGTGGTATTGCCCGAAATTTGGATCATTGCGTCGAACTCGATGAATTGCCGTTTCAAAATAATTATGGAAGTCCAAAACAAATTACTCACCGTGTTCGAATTACGTTCTTAGATTTGAAATGAAAATAAGAGGCATTTCAAATAAGAAAATTTATTGAATCAAAGTTTTTTTGGACATTTAGTTAGTTGTTTGTTTAGTTGCGTAAAGTGTTTGTTCTACAATTTTGTTTAGATTTCGTTTTAATTTTTACATTTAATGTTTTTGGTTTTTGAACTGTTTGCATTACTGCCTGTGATTAAGTTTAACACAAAAGCCATTGATTGATGCATTCCATTCTTCACCCAGGCGGTTTTTCAAAATGTCGAAATTAGTCTTGTCTGCCAGATTGAAACTATAGCTCATCAAATTGCATTTAGAAATCATACGAAGTACTTGGTAAATTGAGACACAATAACCAAAAAAGTTCAATTCCCTTCAATAGTGGTAATTCTTGTGCAGCTTCAGTCATGACGCTTTCGATGATATTATTGATTCTATCGTTGATGCACAATGTAATTTTTTTGATCGATTGATTTTTTTTGAAGAAGTTCGACCAATTGTGTAAGTTAATCGACGGCAACGGAGAACAAGGGTATTGCAGCTGAGCTGACCAAATGTCACTTTATTTTCTTTTGATGTCATCAAACGACCAACATTCTTCTCGACGCAAATATCCAGTTTTTTCAACGCAGGTAAATTGATCGGAGTGTCAACATTTTCCAAATTGGCTCTGGTATCAATATGAAGACATTCTAATTGGGCAAGTGTTTTGCATGTGTTCCAGAAGTCTTTGGGTAGAAAAATCCCATTTGGAAATAGGCTGCGTAATTATGGATTATTTCGCAAGTATCGCGGCTGCTATGAATTGTCAAATGTTCCGATTGTGGTATTTTCTTCACGATGAGAATTTTCTTATTAAACATAGTAGAGCGAAAGAATTTCAAATGACGTAATGCCGGAAATCATTTCTTAAAATTTGTATCTGCATAAAATTCGCAATCGAAAGATTCAACGAATTTAAGATTTGAAAGTGATTTTTTTAGCAAGTTTTTTCTGATGCGAAGCCAGTGAATTTTAAGTTTACATAACGAATCGAAACAGTATTCATTCGCATAGCCAATCAGCTTCTTGCCAAGTCCAACAATCGCAGTTGAATTTTTTTGTCACTGATAACTGATTTCAATATTGTCGCCGTTTGAACGCAAAAAATAGTCATCGTGTAAAATGAATTCTGTCTTTCCAAAATTACGCTGGAATGCCAGGTCAGCGGCCGCTTTAAATGTTTTGTTGGTGTTTGCAATGTTCAAAAGGTTTTCGAAACTCAACTGCATAAAGATTCGCTCAAGACAATCATCCACGACATCCGTCAGCTCCATTGTATTGGCTGATGCGCTTTCATCATAGTCAGTTCGTGGGTGCTCCTTTCAAAGTTTTAGTCCCAAATTTGTTCCTTGATCGGCCATTTTCTGTGCAATAAATCATAAATACAAAGATCAATCACAAAACAAAACTCCAAATTACATGAATTCTATGAATAACATGTGACTAACAGATTCACACATTATTACAAAGAAGTTTGTTTTAAAATGTGAGGTTAGAAAATTAATTGCAGTAAGTATTGTAGCTTCATAAGACCACAAATTTGATAGACATTGAGAAAATACTTGATAAAATTACCAGGTTCTTTTGAATATTTTTTGCCTTCAAAGTTTATCCATAAAACCTTTACAAATTAATATTGATCAAAATAAAATTTATACTCACACGTGTGTACTGTTCCCTTCTAATGAGTGTTTCTTTGAAGAAATCCAATCAATCTACTGTGTATAGTACCACATCGGATCAGTTCGCATGTTTGAATCAAATTTTATCCTTAGCTTTTCGATGAGCTTCAAATAAAAAGGTTTTTTTTTGAAGATTTATTTGTTTCTATCATTTTCTTTTCAATGAAATGAGAAGTTTTTGGAAATTGAAACTGTATTGGAAAAATTTCGAATAATATCGATTTGCGACTACTTATGAAGCTCACAACCACGTTGACAGCTATACCGCACCAATACATTTGCCTCACTCCAATTCTTTCTTGTGTGAGTTGACACATTCTTTTTGTCGGCGACTGCGATAGCATCAACACGTTTTTATTAGGTGCAGTAATTTTGCACATAAAGTTCACATTATTTTGATTTGATTTTCATTGAAAATTCGTTAAATTCTAAAAAGAAACTAAACAAATACACTCACTGTTGGTGATTGAAGCAATAAATTCAGCGAAACAAAATGGAAAAGAAAAGGAAGTATGTAAATTGTTTGGTGATTGACCCTTTGTACCGCATTGTACCGTTGTTTTTGTTGTAGTAAAAAATTGCGTCGTAGAATTTCCGATTATTCTGAAATGTTAATTTTGCTGCCATTATTGGTTTTAGACTTTGTTTTGAATATAATTGTACGGAAATGATGTGGCCACAAGACTTGATCGCAATTATTTTCCATTTAATATTTTCTAGGCGGTCAACAATGGGCTGCGTCGTTGATGATTTGGATCGCAGCGCACCATCTCAATTGGAATGTTCGGGAATGTGTATCGGGCACAGTGACAGTGCGTGTTTAATTGATCCGGCCGAAATCAAAAAAGAGATATGCATCAAAGAAGAAGATCCAGACTCTGTTGGGCATTTAATCGATGTTCCCGTAGTGTACGACAATGAATCGCACCCGTTGCATAACCTCAATGAGCATGATGGTGAAGATGATTTCGCACTTTTGGGCGTCGATGATGTGAAAATTGAGCCGAAACAAGAAATCGATTGCAAGAAGGAAAAAGAAACGAACACAAATGCTGATTCGCGAAAAGATGTAGCACATGTGCAACAAAATCGACAATTTCAACCAGACAATGGAAGTAATTCGATGGGCAACAGCATTCCGAAAAATAATCGAAAAGCACACAAATGTGATCTTTGCGAATATTCAACCAAGTACAGGTCACATTTAAAAAGGCATTCACGTACACACACCAATGAAAAGCCATATGGTTGCAAATACTGTGCAAAACAGTTTACATCGAATGGAAGCTTAAGTGCTCATATGAAAGTTCACGTGGAAGAGTTTTTGTTCCACTGTTCTGGCTGTTTGCAAGGCTTCGATGAAAAAGATGCCAAAATGATCCACGAAACAGGTTGCATGGCTCGTCGCTACGAGTGCCATGTGTGCAAGCAATCTTTTGGATCACAAAAAACAAATTTACTTAATCACGTTCGTGTTCATAGCGGCCACAAACCATTCGAATGCACCAAATGCCAAAAACAATTTTCAGACAATGGGCATCTTACTAGACACAAGAAAATTCATTTCGGTCCACCTTCATTTCACTGTTCCAGATGTCGCTTGGGATTCACACAGGAAAACATAAGAAATGCACATGAAGGCAAATGCAGTCGACGTGTATACGAATGTTATGTTTGCGGAAAATTCATTGGTAGCCCGAAAGCACAGTTACTAAGTCATATGTACAATCATACAGGCGAAAAGCGATTCAAGTGCAAACATTGTTTGAAGAAATATACACAGAAACCCCGTCTTGATGATCATTTGAAATCACATACCGAAAATCTCCCGTTTAAATGTTCGATTTGTCGCCTCGGTTTCTTGAAGCAAACACAACGCAAGGTGCACCAGAAGACCTGTTTCCGAAAAGGTTACGAATGCTTTTTGTGCGGAAAATTCTTTGGCTGGCTCAAAGCTAACTTGAAAGGACATATGACGAAGCACACAGGCGAAAAGTACTTCAAATGCAAGCTGTGTGACCGCAATTATGCCCTGCGCTCCAGTTTGAAAACACACATCAATCGAAGCCACAATGGGAAAATGAATTAATATCGATCCGCTGGTGCAAAGGGCATTAAAATAATCAATTTGAATTTTTACTTTTCTATTACATTTATTTTCAAACATTTATATCATTTACAAAGTTGATTCTTTACATTTTCTTCTTACAATTAATAATCAAAATAAATGAAAATAATTACAATGTGAATTATAATAAGAACTTAATCAAAGTTAACCTAATAAACGTATAGTCGTTGACAAAACAATGTTCCAAAAATACATACAAAAATACAAACACTAAAGCAACATTTTCTGTAGCTTATTTGTATGTTGATGTTTCTTTTCATTTGTATTAGTTCATCTAATTGCGTATATACAAATTATGAATTCCATGAGTTTCAAGTTATCCATT